ATATTATATGTATATATATGTATATATATATGTTATATATGTAAATATATACTGTGTATAAATGTATATATATATGTATATATATATATATATATGTATATTATATATGTATATATACTGTATATACTTATGTATATATTTATGTTATATATATATATATGTATATATAATGTATATGTATACCATATATAGTATATATGTATATGTATATATGTATGTATATATATGTGTATACTATATATGTATATATTGTATATATATATACTATATTATATATATGTATATATATATTAATATATGTATATATATATGTATATATATATATGTATATATATGTATATAGTATATATATATTATATATGAGCACACATATATGGAACACAAGAACAAACACAATCACGTGAACACAAAAATGAAAATGAAACTAGCCACAATGAGAAATTTAAAATAAGCGTGACGTTTCCAACTCTTCGCGAGTTCCTCAGAGAAAAAACCGAAATTAGATCCATTTTCGGCTTTTGTCTGATGAGGAACTCGTGAAGAGTTCGAAACGTCACTTATTTTTAATTTCTCGTTGTGGCTAGTTTCATTTGCACACACACACACACATACATATATATATGTATATACACAGAAAGAGAGAGAGAGAGAGAGAGAGAGAGAGAGAGAGAGGAGAAGAGAGAGAGAGAGAGAGAGAGAGAGAGAGAGAGAGAGAGAGAGAGAGAGAGAGAGAGAGAGAGAGAGAGAGAGAGAGAGAGAGAGAGAGAGAGAGAAATAAATAGAAGAAAGAGATCCTTGCACACAGACAGACACCCCAACCCACCCACAGACAAACAGAAGAGCAATCCAACCCCACCCCACCCCAACCCAGCCCGCCTTGTACTCAGTCGGGGAAATACTAACCCTCGCCTCCCGGTTATGCTTGGCCTTCATCCGCGCTGCGTCCCGCGGGGTGAGCACAAATTCCCCGTATTCCAGAAACTTCTCGATTTTCTCACTCTCGCGAATGATATAGTCGTTGGGGAGCTGGCGGTTCTCCACCCTTTTCTTGAGGTTTCTGTAATTGTTCGTCCGGTCCATCTGTCTCTTTCGCTCGCGCAGTTCCCAGAGCCAGTCGGTCTGTTTGGGGTCCTGGTTTAGGCGGCGCGGTTTACGTGTTGTATTTAGTTGGTATTTTTTTTTTAAAGGGGAGAGGGGAGAGGAGGGAGAGGGAGGAGGGAGGGAGAGGGGAAAGGAGAGGGTGGAGGGGAGAGGGGAAGGTGAGAGAAGAGGGGGAAGGTGGAGGGGTAAGGGGTGAAGGGAAGGTGGAGGGGAGGGTGAGAGAGAGGGAGGGTGGAAGGTGGAGGGAGGTGGAAGGGGAGAGGGAGAGGGGAAGTGGGAGAGGGGAGAGGGGATGGGGAAAGTAGGGGATGAGGTGAGTTTGAGATGGACATGTTAGAGAATAGGACGTAGAGAGACGTAGGTGGGGGGGGGGGGTCGGGGGGAGTCAAAAGGGTTGCGTCAGGAGATTCAAGTATGAGTTAGTTAGATGAGTCATATTAAATCAACCGAATTAGTAAAGTCAGGTGAGATGAGTCAGGTAAGCCACATTAGACGAGACACAGCAAACAGGTGAGTCAAATAAGTCAAGTCAATTGCGTCATATAAGTCAGGTAAGAGTCAGGTTAGGCGAATCACGTCAGAATCCGTCATTTTGAGTCAGTTACGATGAGTTCACAGGTGAGTCACACAGGCGAGGAGGCGGGAAGGACACCAAGCGGCATTCCCAGGTGTTGAAAGCAGCATGGAAGGGAAAAAGAGGAAGACAACCCGTGTTAGTACAAAAAAGCCTCGGTCAGCTTACTTACTGTCCACCTGAAAATCGAACCTCGTTTTTTCGTTAGTAATCAAAGCATAGGCCTAAAAAAACATGTCCTAAAACAAGTGTTAGGAGGGTTAGGATACTTACACTCGACCAAAAGAGGGATGACACGAAAAATGGCGGAGGAAATTAAGAGGAGAGACTGTCGCTTAGCGAAAGCCGCTAAGAATGACAGCGGTAAGCTAGCGCTTTTTCGCTCATTAGGGAAAGGACTAAATCACTTCTAAAAGAAATATAAACAAATCTAAAAGGAAGGATTTTAAATACGTTTGGAAAAAAAGAAAAAAAATGCTAACAAAGAAAATACAAATGAATTCCTGTGCAAAATGCAACGGTTCCCTTAAGAAAGAAAACGAAAAAGAAAAAGAAAAACACACAAAATCGGTTAGTACACCAAAATGCTCCAAAAAATGCTTTTAAAAATGCAAAAAAATAAAGAAAATTGAAGAACGAAATTCCATTCTTTGCGGAATAAACAGTACCAGAGTCGTTCTGATAAGCAAATGATCTCTGTTGATCTCTATAATCATATAAAATAATCTTTAAATGATTCTCTAAAATAAAAAAAGAACCTTTAGGTCGCAGAGGATAATAAAACGTCAATATATGAACAGAGAACGTAAAAAAAAAAGAATGAAAGAAAATGTATCTGTGTGGATGAAAATCAAGGGGGTACTTTTTTGTTTTTTGGATAGTTCTTTGAATTTCTAAGACTTAAAAAAGAAAGAAGAGAAAAAAGAAGAAAATAAAAATAACAGAGAAAAAGACAATGACCCTAAGAACAAAAAAATATATATCCACCACGACCAAAGAGAAGAAAAAAACTATAAAGAAAAGCGATCAACAGGAAAAAAAAACAATATAAAAAAGAAAAATCAACATATCTATTTCCTTAAAAAAATCATAATGGCGACATCCGTTACTGTTCATTCCGGAAGAGTTATTGCCAACTCTCCTTGGAACAAAAACCCTCTACCTACTGGGAACACTTTGTCTGGTCTACCGGCGATCAAGATCTCCCTTAAAACATCCACCGGCTCCTATGGGGAAGGGAGGGAGAGATGGTCATCTAGAAGGTTCTAGAAGGTTCTAGAAGGTTCTCTCACCAACCATGACTATTTGTGGGCTCCCGAGAGGATGTGGCAACACTGCACTAACTACTGAGGTAAACTCGGGCTTTGAAAGAGAGAGAGAGAGAGAGAGAGAGAGAGAGAGAGAGAGAGAGAGAGAGAGAGAGAGAGAGAGAGAGAGAGAGAGAGAGAGAGAGAGAGAGAGAGAGAGAGAGAGAGAGAGAGAGAGAGAGAGAGAGAGAGAGAGAGAGAGAGAGAGAGAGAGAGAGAGAGAGAGAGAGAGAGAGAGAGAGAGAGACAGAGAGAACAGAGAGAGACAGAGACAGAAGAGAGAGAGAGAGAGAGAGTCGAGAGAGAGAGAGAGAGAGAGAGAGAGAGAGAGAGAGAGAGAGAGAGAGAGAGAGGAGAGAGAGAGAGAGGAAGACAGACAGAAGAGAGACAGACGAGAGAGAGAGAGAGAGAGAGAGAGAGAGAGAGAGAGAGAGAGAGAGAGAGAGAGAGAGAGAGAGAGATAGAGGAGAGATGGATAGATGGATAGAGGAAGAGGATAGAATGGATAATGGATAGGGATAGATGGATAGAGGATGGGATAGAGATAGATAGATAAGAGAGAGAGAGAGAGAGAGAGAGAGAGAGAGAGAGAGAGAGAGAGAGAGAGAGAGAGAGAGAGAGAGAGAATGGCGAACAGACAGAAAAGGAGGAGAGAGATACAGACATAGATGAAAAACAGAAAATGACAGACAAACAGTTAGATAGAGATAGATAAATAGTAAGAGAAGAGAGAAGAGAGAGAGAGAGAGAGAGAGAGAGAGAGAGAGAGAGAGAGAGAGAGAGAGAGGAGAAAGAGGAGAGAGAGAGAAACAGACAGACTGACAGACACAGACAGACAGAGAGACAGAGAGAGACAGACAGGACAGAGAAGCAGACAGGAAGATAGACAGAGAGTCAAATACTCTGTTTGAAGCAAGAAAACTCAAATCTTTTGGGAAATCAGATGTAGGTCCAAAATAGACGAAGGAAAGAAAAAAAGCTTGAAAAGAAACAGAAAGAGAGAGAGAGAAAAATGAGTTCAGAGTTACGCTTTGAACTTATCTTTAGTACGAAGAAGAAGAGAGGAGAGAGAGAGAGAGAGGAGAGAGAGAGAGAGAGAGAGAGAGAGAGAGAGAGAGAGAGAGAGAGAGAGAGAGAGAGAGAGAGAGAGAGAGAGAGAGAGAGAGAGAGAGAGAGAGAGAGAGAGAGACGTAGATGAACAATTATAGAAACAAGAGGACGAAGAAGAAAATAAGAGAAAAAAGAAGGGGAGAATAAGAAACGAAGAATGACTTCCGAAGATGAAGAAGATAAAGAAGAAGAAGAAGAAGAAGAAGAAGAAGAAGAAGAAGAAGAAGAAGAAAAGAAAGAAGAAGAAAAGAAGAAGAAGAAAGAAGAAATAAGAAAAAAAAAAGAAGAAGAAAAAAAGAAGGAGAAAAGAATAAAATAAGAATAAGAATAAGAATAAGAATAAGAGGAAGATAAGCATATCTCACATCTGGTATCTACAAGGGACTATGATGTTAATAAGGTTTATTTCACTTCTTGGAAAATAAGCAGACAAGGATTTTTTTTTTGAGGAAAATGGACGTAAATTTACCATTTTTTTCCGGGTTTATATATATTATCTTGAAGTTTGATTTAATATCTTAATTTTTCACTTTTTTTTCTCTTTACCTTATCGTCAATTTCATTTTCCTAAAGTATTTCATCCTTCTAGTGAGTATATATGTGTACTTGCATTTAGTCCTTTAACTGCGGTGTACCTTTCAATAAACCTTGCTTTTAAATATGAACTGATAAATAAGTGATATTTCATTAATCTGTAATAAAATGTGCAGTACAAAGAAGAAATAAGGAGAAACAGAAAATAATAATAATAAATTCATTTTTTACACCTACAAAACAATCAATAAACCTTGCTTTTAAAATGAACTAATAAATAACAGTCATTTTTCAATAATCTGTAAAAAATTAAAGATACAATAAAAATGGATAATGATAATGAACTGATAAAGGATAATGATTACATCTACAAT